GGTATGTATTTTTCCTTTCAAACAGCCAGATTAACTGACGGCATCACGAAAACGTGTAAGATTGCATGATCTACCCGCCCTCGACAAGACCTTAAACCAAACAAACCGCTCCTTATACCATCTGCATTCCTTCTGGATTGGTTTATGCAGTAAGTAGAAAAAAATTGGCAGCAAATGTGACAAGAACGAGTAGTCCTGAAATTGTAAGAATTCATTCAGAGATGGGGAGATGCGTGAAAAGGAAGAGGTGTGATGAGAAGCATCAGGGAAGATTGAGGCAAACCGTGGCTTAAGTCACCGAAATTTAGAGAAACTAGTCCACCATTAACATTAAATTAGTTCTTCGCCAGCCGAACTCAATTCAAAACAGGCATTCGTTAAGCTATCCATCTGGGAGCAGCCATCGTGCTGTGACATCACTATATCTCATCGCGGGCTAGAAAATAAGGATAACATAATTTTCTATAAATGTAAAAATGCCTGGAGACGTAAATCTTGCAGCCAATTTTCCATGTAGCACCAAAGCATTTCTGAATTTGCAGAAGGCAGCTTTTCCACACATCAAGAAACTGAGGCCTCAAAAGCCCTTTCTTTAAAAGCAGACTTCGACTATATTTGCAAAGCTCATCCAAAGTTGCGGCTATGCCCATGAACATCCTAAACGACCTCTGGGTGCGGCCTACTCTTGTTTCCGCCATCGATAGGAAAGAACTCCCAGAGCTACAAGTAAGTATGGGAATATATTCTCATAGTATGATGTTAAGGTAGAATGAGCACACACTGTGAAACATCCGATCTGACAACCACTCAAACGTACGCCACCTCTTCTACTAGGAGTAAACCACTTAGTCGAAGAGGTGATCATGGACTGTCAGAAGAGACTGCTTTTTTTAAAGACCTCACTAAGCAAACGAGGTTGTGGGGAACACTATCGAATTAGGTAAAACTCCATTATGACTTTAACACAATTTAATGCTACACCTTTTTGAGTAGTGAAAAGTAGGGAAATGGCTAAAGGTGGGAATAACAAGGCACCTGTGTTAAGGAAGCTGTGAAAAAAGCACTGCCTATTTGAGATTGCAGTAACCAGTGATAAGAATTAGGATGTTAGTAGTGCAAGTAACGTCAAAATCAGTCAAGTGATGAAACGACATTATGTGGAATACATCAGCTAGTTACTGTAGAGTTAAGCAGTGTCTCACCTCTTCATTCTTTCTGCCACTTAAATGTCGAGTGGTGTCGCAAACACTTTAATTCCGTCCTCTTCTTAACAAGCACTTATCGATGGTGCAGCTGGCCTCTTCGACATTTAACTTCTTGACCCCCCCATGACAGAGTGCTTTTTCACATCGGCAGTCCAGTTGCTTCTAAGCAAACATAAGTCATGGGTTTCGGATGATCAATCTTAAGGTGACAGACTTTGTGTCATGTATCGATAAAGTATGGTTCTAAGAATTTGCTCACCTGTATTCACAGACGTAGCATACGTAGGGCCGAATTTGGCCCTCTCTACGTCCGTTCTGCTCATAAACTCTCAGCAAACTGGAGTACTCTGATAGTGATGCCCTTCTTGTCTTGAGGCTCAACACTTGGATGACGCCATGCTTGCCAATATCAGACTTTCAATTGGAGCGATTGCCACATGAATGATCATTGAAACCGTTTTAACTGCCCAAATTGCTCCACTTTTTGCTCATTAAATTCTAAGCTCCCCTTAGAAGTGCATGTCCGGTTGTCTTCTGCTTCCTTTCTGGCCTGCCTTTCCACTTCACATGGCCAATGCTCCTTAAATCCATCCCAAATGTAGGTGTGGAAATGAGCATGTCGAGCACAGACAGAGAACAGGTTCTTCCTCCTACGGCTCCAAATCATCGGCATTATTGCGTTGGCCCTGTTCGGCTTTTGAGGAAATAGAGGGTTAAACAACTTATTCGAACAAAAATTAGCGCTTGCAGCTTACTCCAATTTCGAAGGTGTGCCCCACCAAGCAACGAGTGATTGTACGTACGTATGATATCACACCCAGAAGTCACAGGGTTGTTTAGTTGTCCCAAATGTGCTTTAAAAATGCACAC